CCTGGTCACCGGCCCGGGGCCGCCCCCGCCGCAGCCTCTCGGGCCTGGCACCTTCTCTTCGTGCTTCTCTGCTGGGCCGTGTGCCCAGCCGTGCACCCACAGGCCACCCTTTCCCTTCTGGGTGAAGCTGCTTGCTTCTCAGGGTGCCCTGCAGCTAGGGGACCTCTCTGCCTCTTGCCTCACACTCTCCCTCTGCACAGACAACCTCTGGAGTGACCAGAGCCTGGAGACAGACCCCGACCTGCCCCCTGGCTGGAGGAAAATCCATGACTCTCTGGGCACCTACTACTGGCATGTGCCAACTGGCACAACGCAGTGGCAGCACCCGACATGCATCACCAGCCCAGGAGGGTGCCCGGAGGCTGATGGAGAAGATACACTCCAGGCAATGGTAGGGGATGTGGGGAGGGCTGGTGTTGAATCCCATCCCTTGGCAGGAGCCTAATGAAGAGCCCTCTGGGCATCATTGGTCCAGCCTCTCCCTGGAGCAGGCCTGGCTCTGTCACCCCAATGCCCTCATCAGCTCATTTCCTGGCCAGGGTTAAGCCCCCTGAATGGCTCCAGTAGGCCTCATGAGAGGCACTACTATCCTGGAAGGGAGGGCTCCTACCTGGTACCTCCTGACAGCCTATCTTGCTGCCCTCACCTTTCCCATTCTCTGCCAGGACTGCCAGGCCCATGTGGTGAAGCACTCGGCAAAGGACAGGCCCATTCCCAGCCCCATGGCTTCTCTGTCCCGAAGGTAGGACTGCCCATGCACTCTGCTGGCTTGTGGGGCACCACTGACCATTGACAACTGCCCAAGTGCCCCCCGCCAGAGCAGCCACTGGAGTGAGTAGGACCATGCTGGTCTCCACCATGGTTTGCTTCCCAGCTGGTGGCATGAGAATCTGATGGTGCTAAGGCATCCCCGTGCTTCTCTGGGTGCCCCAGGTCCGTGCTGCTGGGTGGGAACCATCCCCTCACCCACCCACCCCATTCCTCTGCAGGACCTCGCTGCCCTGGCATGGAGAGGACTTCCAGCAGAATGCAGAGCCTGGCTCCAAGGTACTGCACCCGGGGGCTTTGTGGCAGCATCATGGTAGAGACTCCTCCTGGTAGAGGAGGGGTCAGGCAGCAGATGCTATGGACAGGAGCAGGGGTGACCAAACTGGCATGGTGAGGGCTGTGGGATGCAAGGTGGCTGTGCTGGGCAGGTGCTGAAGCCTCATGTGTCTCCTTTCAGTGCTTTGCTGTGCGCTCGCTGGGCTGGGTGGAGATCCCTGAGGAGGACCTGGCACCTGGCAAGAGCAGCATTGCTGTCAACAACTGCATCCAGCAGCTCTCCAACAGCAAGGGCCAGAGTTCTGTGGAGAATCGGGACGAGGTGAGAGCCTGGGACGGTGCTGCCAGGCAGGGTCCCACCCTGGGACCACTGCTGAGGCTTGGCTGTCTCCACCAAGTGGACTATGTTTGGTACCAGTGGGGACCAGGGACCAGTGCCTGTGGCAGAATCGACTCTCCACATAGGGTATCCATGCAGTTGTCCCAAGTGTGGGGCAGGTGGGTCTGATGGAGCTGTCCCCTGGGGCAATGCCAGGTGTGCCTGGGTGGGCTGTCCCCACACACAGGAATGGTAGCTGTGGAGGGCTGTGGGGTGTAACAGGGCTGTTCCCACACTTGGGGCTGAGCCAGCTGGGAGGAGGAGATTGTCTCTACATGTGCTGGGTGCTGGAGATGCCCAGGCTGTCTTGCTAGGCTGAGGGAGCCACTGACCCTCTGCAGGGCCAGGACCTGGTGATGATCCTGAAGAAGGACACCATGAGCCTGGTGGACCCCCTCGACCACAGCCTCATCCACCATCAGCCCATCCTCAACATCCGCGTGTGGGGCGTTGGCTGCAACAATGGCAGGTGCTGGGGGCTGGGGCAGAGCCTGGGCTGGGAAGCAGCTCTGCCCGCAGTGGGGAGAAAGCATCCCAGCAGTAACCTGTCCCCTCTCCTCCCTCCCTCACTGCTGCCGTGGCTGCAGGGACAGGTAAGGGGGCGTGAGGCCAGTGGGCAGTGTGGGGAGGGGTAGAGCTGCCTCTGCTACTCCTCACTGGCTTGCTCATGGCCTTACAGAGATTTTGCCTTTGTGGCCAGTGACAAGGACACCTGCGTCCTCAAGTGTCACGTCTTCCACTGCAATGTGCCTGCCAAGGGCATTGCCAAGGCCCTGCACGAGATGTGCTCCAAGGTGGGATGCAGGGGGTCTGGCAGGCACAGGCATGGCCCAGGGGCCTTGGGGGCACAGGGAGGCACTGGGAACCCCATCTGTTGCAGATCATGGCTGAGCGAGCCATAGCAAATAGCCGGCTGCCACGTGCCACCGTGCTGGAGCCCATCTCAACTGAGGACCTGCCGCTGAAAGGTACCACCCCCCCGTGCCTCCAGCTGCTCCACCTGCCCAGTCTGCCCTTGGGCAGTGGGGATGCCCAGTGGCCGCAGCCTTTTGACCTGTCCAGCTGTGGCCCTGGGGTCCCTGGGGACAAGCAGGGGACAGGGGAGCTACCCTCACCTCTCCCGTCCTGGCAGTCGATGTCCTGGAAGCAGTGAGGCAGTCGATGCAGACCTACGAGGCGCTTTACAGCGGCAGCCTGCCTGTGCCCAGGGCCATGGGTAAGTGCTGCTGGCCCCACAGCTGGGGGATGCCCGAGAATGTCCCACTGCCGGGTGCCTGAGCAGTGCTGGTCCCTGCCTGTGGGGCAGCAGCTGATGGGATGGGGTCTTCTGCTCCTCAGGGATGGATGTGCTGAATGAAGCTATTGAGAAGCTGATGAAGGGCCCTGGGCGGGACCACTGGACCCCCTCCCTCCTCCACGTGTCTGACACGGCCATGAGGGTACAGCCTGCACAGGTGGGGAGAGGGATGGGGGGGCTCTGGCTGAAGTGGGTACCCTGCTCGCCCCCGGAGGGGACACGGACCCGGCAC